TGTTACAAAAAGGTTTTTATTTTTATGGAGCGAAAGGCTTTGGTGAAATATGTATTGTCTCCTTTCATGTCTGTAGTATCACGACAGGTTGTTGAAAACTGCTCGCTAATCTTATCTATAAAATTCTCTCCTCAAATTTAAGGTAAGAGTTATTTTACCCAAGTTTCTAAGATTCACCGATGACCCTCGTTTCCTCTACAAGGAAAAGTTCAAGTTTGTTTTATTTTTTTTTTATCAACCGCAGGCGAGAGACCATGATAAAGTAATTTTGAAGGTAGCGTCACAACAACCACTAAGAAAATCATATCTGAGGGTTCTGTTTTTGGCACCAAAAAAGACACTCATCTTTCTTAAGTGTGTCGATCTTCAAAGATACTCGGAAACAACAATTAGTAAAATGGGGTCAAAATTGGGTAAAGCTCGGTTTTCGATTGTTACACTCATTCGCTTTTATATTCAGATAACATAGTTGCATCGCCTCCGTTAGAGCAAGCGGCTGAAAAAAAAATAAAACTCGCATATTGAGTTTCTGAAACAAAAGTCATTGATGTTGACTTTTTTTTGTGCGTGCACATGAATATTTCACCATTGCTTTGAGGCGTGGATATCCTGACAGCTTAAATTTTTCGGCCACGTTTTGGTAAGTTTCGGAAGAGAGTGTAGTTCTTGTTTGTAAAGCGTGAAACTCTAAAAACCTTCTTTGGCAGCACGAAGAGTTCCTTTGAGAGACAACAAAGGAGAGAAAAAGTCACATTCCGTACCAAAAAGTCGATTGAATCTCTCTCTTTTCATATTTCTAACTTCAATCCTTAAAAGCACTTCTGAATAAACTTTAATTTTACTCAAACTGGAAACGTTTTTCGAAATTTCCTAACCCTAATATTTCACTCTTATGTGAAGGTGAAAGTTCAACAAAATTTACAGCGAGTACAGCGAGTTCCATGAGAGGGAAAAACAAAGAAAACATGGAAAAGTCACGCTTCTTATAGAACCACTTATAGTACTGCGACATGCCGATGCCCGCAAGGAGATGCAATGTAACACGACCAACTTTTTGAGGGCTGGCTTTAGAACACTCGCTTAAGCAAGAGAGACCGAGACCTATCTTCTGGTTTTTCTTTTCATTCGGCTATCTGATCAACTAACTAAGGTTAGTGTCTTGCCCACTTTCAGGATTCTCTTTCATTCAAGAGCTACGATATTGTCATGCGCATTTTCAGCATTGTCTTCGATTGGATTGCTACTTTAGCATCTTTCACACTTTTAGGCTGCTCTTATTATCGATTGCTATATTTTTTATCACGGGCCATTTTAGTTAAGAAATTGTTGATGCTTAACGTGCGTATATCGAGTTATGGATGCACGCGGGAAGTTTGGAGAGCAAGAAAAATGAGGAAGGGTAGCTCGAGGCGCAGCCGAGAGCAACTCTGGCTTTTTGAGTGCTAGAGTGCTCTTTTTTGAGTGCCCTTCAAACTTCCCAAGTGCATCTATAACTCGATATACGCACAGCTTAAAGCATGAGCAAATTCCTTTATAACAGAGCGACAACAAGGATCTGCGCGAAGAAGCCTTTTATTGTGAGAGAGCGCAAAATTCTCACAACGTACAAAAAAAAAGTACACAAACGTCCTTATTGGCTGGTCAAAAACACGCTACATTTTATACTTTCGTTTGAGGGAGAACATTTGATCCAGTTATCCGATAACTGTGAATGAAAATTTGCGAAACGTGCAATTTGCGCGTTTTTTTGGGCTTTATTTTTGTTGCTTGTTGGATCAGGACCTAAAAGGTCAATGCCGATAGAAAAATTGGGAAGTTCTTCGCTGGTTTCTTCCAAATTTAAAAGAGAAGGAAAACTGCATTGCAGCTTAACAGGACGGAAAGCCAGGTAAAAAAAAAAATTGATCACGTCATCTCATTTACGCACGGGCGTGCGTAGATAAAGATTTTGTTCATAGCGGCTTAACAGGACTTGTATAGGGCAAGCACGCGCGCTATCTTATAATTTCTCTTTCTTTCAATTGTTTGGTTGGTATCTCGCAGACTAGAAACTTTTCTTTCAATCGATTATTACCCTGGTATCCTGGACACTTTTAGGATTCTCTTTTTTTCGGATTGTCACGTTAGTACCATACGCGCTTTTAGAATTCCATTTTGTAGATTATTACGTTAGTACTTCGCGCACTTAAAGAATTCTCATTCGTCAGATTGTTACGTTAGTACCTCGCGCGCTTTTAGAATTCCATTTTGTTGATTATTACGTGAGTACCTCGTGCACTTTAAGAATTCTCCTTCATTGGATTGTTACGTTCGTACCTCGCACGCTTTTAGAATTCCATTTTGTAGATTATTACGTGAGTACCTCGTGCACTTTAAGAATTCTCATTCATTGGACTGTTACGTTAGTATCTCGCTCACCTTAAGAATTCTCTTTTGTTGGATTGTGTCACAGCATCTCGTGCACTTTTAGGATTTTCTTTCATTTAATTTTAACGTTAATATCTTGCACACTTTTAGGATTTTCTTTCATCGGATTGTAACGTTAGTATCTCGCGCTCTTTAAAGATTCTTTATCATTTGATTGTTGCATTTGTATCTTGTGTCGTTTACGGATTCCCTTTCATTCAATACTGCTTCGTGCCCTTTTACACTTTTGATTGTTTGGTTCGTGTTTTGCCCACTTTCGGGATACTCCTTCACTGGAAAGTTACGTTGGTGTCTCGCGCATTTTTAGGATTTTCTTAGATTGGCTTGTTATGTTAGTAGCTAATCTTTTAGCTTCTATCTCTGTTTTCTCTTAAAGTTTCTCTTTCAGTTGATTTCAGTTCAGGTATGTCAGGCAGTTTTAGGATGTTCTTTGATTACACTGTTACGACAGCATCTCCGCGCATTACCTATCTCGTAACTGTCTCGCGCAGTCTTAGGACTGCCTTACATTCGATTGTTACGTTAGTCTCTCCTGTAGCTTAGTATGCTAGTGTTTTCATCCATTGTTTCGTTAGTATCTAGTGCCGTTCTATTTGTAGTCTTTTGTGCCCTCTTAGGATTTTAATCAAAGATCACAGATAAGAGACTCGTTGATTCCGATGTTTAATATGACAATGATTTAATTTCCTACACAGCAGGAAACGAATGACATGACCAAGACAACCTCTTTTTTACGCTGTCATCGTTCTAGAAATTGAGTAGGGGAAAAGATCTTTAACGTGCTACAAAATGGACACTAGGATGGATGATATGCAACGTTTAAGCTCACCTAAATCAAAGATGGCGTCTAGTTATCGATCGAGATGCATGTGCTGCATTTTGTAAACAAACTTAACGAGGAAGTTTGCCGCGGATTTGTCTTTGCAAATCTTTTTAATTCACTAGATCTCTTGGTAAGGTTGTGATGAAACATTCTAGTCGCCAATTTGGCGACTAATTTTCAGGATTTGGTCGCCAAAGTGAAAAATTTAGTCGCATTGGCGCCTGTATTGGGCGCAATTTCACGCCCTGATTATGCGATTTTTTGTTAAGGACAATTGACAAAACAGAATTTACGTGAAGACGGTTCTTATCTTATCTTATCTTATCGACGGAAAGCAGTTTTCACATCTTAAAAAGAAAAGCAACTTACGCTTCCACGTCCTCGGACAATCCAAGTTTACCCGGAAATATTTCAGACATGAGTACAATTACATATTCCAGGCCCGCCTTGCTGAATCGTTCTTCTAACTTATGCAGATAAAATTAAAAGATGAAAGGATTCATGAAATCTGCTTTATGAACTCTTTGGAAAAGATGATAACATGAATATTAACCGTCACGAGCAAAATATCCCTGAACTAGGGGTGTCCCCTCAATGACGGCATCGAATACAAGGGTTTTAATCAAAGTTTGTGTCCCTCAAGTAGAGAAAACGTTTTATAAGGATGCCCAAAAAATAGAGATTCTTCTGCATAGACGAAAATATTCCACACATTACATCGTAAGAAAACTGGAGAATTTATATTTAAATTTGCAGCCTTCCCCAAAGTTAATTGCATCAGAAAAACTTATATTTAGATGCGAAAATGACTTGATTTTGTCCAGAGAGAGTTTGAGTCATGTCTTAAAGTGCATTTCGATAGTGTGCCGCAATACCAAAAACATAGTAGTCACCAGCAGATGTCCAATCACTACGTTGGAAAATATAATCAAAACCCGATGGGAACTAAAATTAAAAGGTACAGTGAGAGCAACATTATTGACTGAGTCACGATTGGTATTTGCCTTACACTTGATTGGTTGAGAGGGTAGCTTGGATTGTTCACGTCAGTCAAGCCATGACATGGCGAACTGATAGCCGATTACTTTCAATGCACAACTGAAGGTTTAATTTTGAATCACACAAAGTAGAACTCCGTTCAAAAAGTATATTTACTTATAAAATTTTCACATTTTAACTGTATGCAATACCTCTAGCACCTTTGGACTTCCTTGCCTTCCTAACGTACTTAGAATGAGTCCAAATTTCTTTGCTCTTGACGCCGTAGTTATGGCGTCGTTCCTCGCTTGAAACATGGCATCAATATTGTAATATTCCCTGGAAAACACTTTGCTATAGGGATCGTATCTGCGATGAAAGCGAAAGTGCAGTAGAATTTTAGTTCAAAGTTGTGTGTCTCAAAGGCCCAGAAAGGTATACAATATCTAACAATCCAAAGCGTACAAGGCGGTAGGGGGTCTGTTTTAGTGAGGGCATAGGGAAAACACTGGAAAAGACGGGCATCGCACTCTGTCTACACAGACAGTATGCCTTTACTAGAGACAAACAATTTTTTAATCGAAAAAGTGATGAATTTTTATTCACAGAATTACACGAAAGAGATCTGAAAAAATCAGGCTTCAATGATGGCTCGATCTGTGCTGCCTCTCTAGCTGTTGAGCACTGCAACCAATTGAAATAATATGAAGCTACATGTTATGCAAGGAAAGGCTATTAGGTACACGTAAAGAAATCTGCCTTTTGAGGTTCTCTACGTGTACATGTATGCTGGTGTAGATGGGTTAGCAATCATGACAGCCTCTAGATGGAACCTTCCATCACCTAAGTAACTAAAAAAAAAGTTTAAGTTTAAAGATCATTCCAATGAAAAAATTGAAACAAGTACCTGCTGTGGTCGGTGGCATGTGCCTAAATGATAGCTGCTGCTTATAATCAAAATGGTAAATACAGTGACAAAACAAGCATTTAATTAGGAATAATTGCAATAATAACACATTAATCAAAAACATAACACCCACTTATCTGTTTCCCAATTTAGTTTTTGATAACACTTTTACTCAATTTCCACCCAATTAAATGATTAACCCTTTCACTCCTATGAGTGACCAAGAGAGAATTTCTCCTAACAATAACAATACAATATCAAGCAGACAAGTGATGAACTAAAGGAAAATATCAATTAGGGTAGTTGTAGTTCATCCAGTACCAAATTCTCCACACTAACATCAAAAGAATTGTATGGTAGACAGTAAGGAGAATTACTAATGAGATCTTGGGAATGAAAGGGTTAAATGATTTTAAGTTAGTCCTCAGAACAAACATGATTATTTTAGTCAAAGTGGGCACCATTGTTGCTAGGCAACATCACTAAACAATAAATATGCCATGGACACAGCAGGAAGAATGCCAAACAATTCTTCCAGAAATAAGACAGAGGCTCTATGGGAGTTTTCCTGGCAAAACAATGGACATGGTCAAAACACGAACAAACTGCCTAATTTTCATCCTAACTACAGTGATCCTTGGCTCAGATCATTGTTTTATTTATAAGCAAATAGCTTCAGATCTAATGGTGCAAATTTTTAATGAAACTAAACCCCTACAGTACTTACAACTAGATTTGCCAATACAAATTATAAGAAAGATTTTCAAAAGAATATTTAATTTGTTTAAGAATACTCACTATGAAAGAGTTGGTGCAGTTTTCTTAAATTCATAATGAACTAAATTACATAATTATTTCCTTGTTTTGCTTAATACAATACAACAATACAAATACAAAGACTTTATTTAAACACGATAATTGTTAAAGCGACTACACGCTTGTGGGGTCGTGCGTAAAATGGAATAAAATGAAATGTAGTAAAATACAATAATTAAAGTAGCCTATCAAAATTAGAAGATCTAAAAATATTTAAAATTGGGGTCCTTAAAATTCACTGTCTGTGGAGAAATGGAATTAAAGTTCAAATTTAAAAGTGCCTTTGATTTGTAGGCTAACGAGGAGAGCTGCTTAATGGTTATATTTCTTAAATTTGATTCTTGGAGAAGTGTGTTAAAAACGATAGGTCCTCTTCTGGAAAAACTGTTTTTCATGTAATATGTATTGAATTTTGGTACTTTTATGTTGGCATTACTTCTTAGATTTTTCTTAGTATTCACGTCAACTTCTTCGGTGGTATCTAAGATGGATATAGGTAAAGTCTTCTTATCTATTTTGAACATCAGTTTAGCTAAATTAACTTTATATGTGGTTTCAATAGAAGACCATCGAGCTTTGCTTAGTACGTCAGACTTAGGCATATCCCATGGCCAGTTAAAAATTAATTTTGCCGCTCTACAGTGTAAAGACTCTAATGCAATTAGGCCCTCCTTATTAGTAAGGCCGCCCCAGACGGTGATACCATATATAATTGATGGGTAGATTACTTTAAAGTATAAGTCCAGTAGCATGGGTCTTGGTAAGAACAAGCTGCGCTTCAGCATGTTAAGCTTATTTGTAAAGCTGATCTTTAGTGCTTTGACATGGTAGTCCCAGTTAAGTCTATTATCAATATAGACTCCAAGCAGCCTGGTGTGTTTAACCCATCTTATACAATGATTCATCAGTATTAATGACTGTAGTGGACCAGTGAAGTTTCCTCGATGAATTAGCATGCCTTTGCATTTCTTGGGGTGAGGCAATAGTTGATTTCTTAAGCACCATAGCTCTAGTTCCTTGAGAGCAGCATTCAGTTCGGCAATAACAATGTCTACGGTGTCTCCGATACAGAACAGGGTGGTATCGTCTGCGTACAAAAAAACAGTTGCATTTGTTATATTATCAGGTAGATCATTTGTGTAAAGTGCGAACAAGGTTGGACCGAGGACTGATCCCTGAGGAACGCCTGTATTAATGCGAGCAAAATCAGAGGCTGCGCCGTCAATGACTGTGAACTGTCGCCTCCCCTTTAAGTAGCTGTGAAGCCAAGCAGCCAGGTTGCCCTTGATCCCAAAGTCAATCTCGAGTTTATGCAGCAATATTTTATGCGATACACAGTCAAAGGCCTTTTGAAAATCGACAAAAACCACGCCGACAACTTTACTGTTATCAACCGCTTGTCTCCATTGTTCTGTCAGTTTTATAAGCATTAATTCAGTAGAAAAGCCTTTCCTATAAGCCCATTGGTTTTCAGCGACTAAACTGTGCTCATGGAATGTATGGTTGACGATTCTCTGAGAGACCGTTGATTCAAGGATCTTGCTGGGTATACTGAGAATAGAAATTGGCCGATAGTTGCTCATGTCGCTCTCATCGTCCTTTTTTTGTGGATAGGGCTCAGCCTAGCCACTTTCCATTGTTCAAACACGTAGCCAGATCTTAGACTTTCACAATAAATATGGTATAATGGATGGACCAACGCATTCCCGGCAGTTTTAGAGTTCTAGAAGAAATCTGGTCGGGACCGGTAGCTTTATTCCATTTAAGATCTGATAAATACTTTTCAATTTCGGATTTTGATAAAATAACGTCTTTGATAACAGGAACTGACTTTAATGTTGTGGCAGCGTTGACTTTTGTGAATGAAAAGTTCCTTGTTAGATTAATTCCTATATTAGAAAAGAAAGAATTCATCAGATTTGATTTTTCTTTACTATCGACTGCCAGAGAACCGTCTTCCCTCTTCAAGGGTCCAATAGCCTTTCTGAGTTTTGGTGCAGTGGCATTGCGAAGAAGATTCCAATACTCCGCAGCGGTTTTTTATTTCAAGTAGTTGGTTCTTGAAATGTTTAGTTTTCGCCCGACGTACGTCCGTGGTGATTTCATTACGTAATCTTTTGTATTCCTTCCATTTGACCGGATCTTTTGTGCGAGTGGCTACTTTGAATAATTTAAACCGTTTGTTCATCTTTAATCTTATTTCGCTGTTAATCCATGGTGAACAGACACTGCGAACCTTGACGTCTTTATAGGGGGCATGGACATCACAAACATCGTTGAACAAAAGATTCCAGCCCCAAAGGACGTCGTCTTTGTCTTCAAATATATCCAGTACGTGAAAAGGTATTCGTTCGATATCTTTCTTGAAATCTTGAATGTTACATCTCTTGAAGTTTCTTGAGCGGACAATCTTCGGAGGGGGTCTTTTGGATTTCAACTTCAAGGTGGCGTAAACTAAACTGTGATCAGATATGCCCAATGGCAGCACGCCGCATTGACGAACCATGTTTGCTTTAGTTGTAACAATAAGGTCAATTAGGGACTCCGTTGTGGATGTTATTCTAGTCGGTTGAGAGATAATGTTTTGCATATTGAAGTCTTCAAAGGTCTCTATCAGCTTCTTCGTTTTGCCCAAAGTAGGTATGCCGTCAGGGTCCCTATTTAATAAACAACAGTTAAAATCGCCAAGTATAAAGATGCTGTCAGTTTTAAGCCAAGCTTTTTCGAGGGCTCCACGAAAGCTTTCGAAGAAATTCGTGGACTCTAGCTCAGACCTATAGATTACGGAGAACAGAGTAGTGTTTGTAGGAAATTTAACCTGTATCCAGAGAGCTTCAATGTCTGAGGCTGCCAAATCTCTGCGATGAGTAACGGATAAATGTTCAGCATAATACATGATCACGCCGCCGCCTTTACGTTGAGATCTATCACAACGTATGAATTTAAGACCAGGAATTTGTAGTACATTATCAGGTATTGAGGCGTTTAAATGGCTTTCGCCGATTGCTAGGACATCGAATCTGCAAATTTTCTGTAGAAGACGGATATCTTCTATTTTATTTGGAAGACTGCATACATTGAGATGCGCGATGCGTAGATCGTTGTGCGAAGTATTCAAAGAGGCAGCAAACCTTTCGAGGTAGTCGTCTTTGTGTTGTACACAATCGCCAGTGTTATCTGGAACATTGTTTGATAATCTAGCGTCCAGACAGGGTTGGCAAAACCATTCAAAGTTATCCATCAATTGCATAGCTTTATACTGATTAGGCTTAATGTTCCCGCACTTTATGTGAGTCCATCCATTGCACTAATAATTTTCTTACATGAATGCATCCCAGTGCAGCCCAGAATCTCTCCAGGTGACAATGGTTTACACTGCGAAATCTCTACCTGATAATCTTTACACAGGTCTTGATATACAGCCTGGGTAAACAACAAATTAAATACATATATGTAAAAATTATTTGAAAGTATGAACACAATAAAAGGAGACACTGGGTCCAAACCACAGGGTTTAAGTCTCAGCCAAGTCACTGTGTTGCATTCTCTCTCCCCTCTCTCTAGCTTGGAGAGAAATGGGTACCAGTGAGTTGTCATGGAAACTTGAAAAAATGCCTGATAGAGAACCATGTGAGATGCTCCTCCTATCCAGAAGAAGCAGTCAGTCGACTGACTGTCGACTGACTGTCAACCAATATATTGGTTAAGTATCGACCAACTCTCGACCAATATATTCAGTCAAGAGTACTGTACCTATAATAAACATGATCCCAATACTGTCCCATCAGTGTAATCATTTAATACATACTTGAAGTGTTGTCACAAACTGGATTGTGCTCAAAAGTGCAAGTGACTTTCCGGCTTCAAAATTGTGTCTGACTGTGTTGACAAAATGTGTGGCATCCAGCTTTATGTCCACAAATACATATAACATCTTGATTCCTTTAGTTGAGTCAATAGGAACTATAAAACAATGAACAAATAATGAACCTTTTCACATTATCTTACCTACAGTACTGTATATATGGTTACTAATTGTTTAGGGTCTTTCAATTTTGCATCAATAGAAGAGACCAAAAGTTGCAAATATAATGAGTCGAATTTCATGAGGGATATCTTGTAGCAAAACAACTTAGTCTAATAAAGTGTCATTTTCAGTCTTCATAACCATATTTGATAAAAAGAAAGTGCTAACTTTCAACCAACTATCTTCATGGTCATTGTAGTAGTAATAAAGCTTTATTTGAACTTGCTTATTGTTTAGCACACCAGTGCTAGTTTGAGTGAATATATACATAAATAAGTCACAATTAAAAAAAAGAAAAAAAAAGAGAAAAAATTGATTCATCACTTCATGGTTTTATTATGAACCAACATAATGACCAGCTCCCAGTTGGTTTGTTAGCTCAGTAATGGTTGAGCACTGCATTGGTATCGCAGAGGTCATGGGTTCGAATCCAGTACAGGCTTGAATTTTTTTCATACATTCATAGCCACTGATTGCAACACTATTGTTTGCATCAAAATACCATGCTCTTGACGTTGAACTGTTGTGTTGCTCAAGCATCAAAGTTATAAAGCAAGGATTCCTCCAAAAAAATATCATTCAAAACTTAGACATATCTACCAGCAGAGGACAGAAAGCAAGGGCAATAAAAACACAGGGCAACTTAAGAGATTCGAACTATGAAGTAGAAGGTGAGACAAAGGGGACTTCAAAAGGTGAATCTGGGAGGTTAGAAGAAAAAGATCAAGGCTGAAAGGATTCAGTTGTGGTATAATATGAGTTTACATTATGATGAAGAAGATTAAGTGATGTCTATCAACATTTTTTTTCTCTTTAACTCAAGCAGCTGTAGCCACAGTGAACCATAAGATCACAACCAAGAGCCCTCGCAGTTAAGTCATCAACACAGCAAGCACCATATGTGACATCCCCCATGATGACTGTATCACAACCTATGAATCTAACACAAAAGTCCCACTGAGTACAATGGCAGTCACCCAGTGCTGAAAACCTGAGCCACTTTCTGTATGAATTTTTTTGAGGTGATGGACAAAAAAGTATGCATGTGCAGATTATCTTACAGTTGTAATCCTTCAGAATCCATCATAGATCATATAATTATTATATGATAATAATAAATTAATAAAGGGGGTAAGTTTGTAAAGAAACTGTGGTGCTGAATTGGTGGTGGAGTATAACAGGATAATTTAGTATTATTAACTGAGTTAATAGTGTAAATTGGCCACCATAAAGAGTTTCAAAGCTGAAGTTTCAAGTGTTAGTCCTTTGCTCTGACAAAGGGCTAACACTCAAAATGTCAGCTTTGAAATTATATGATAAGCTGAATTATGCACACATTTTGAATGGTTTTTACTTAATATGAGCTACTGTGGGACAGATGCATACAATTTAGTTGATGTCACTATTGACAACATTTTGCTTTATTACCACATAAAACAACTAGATTAGACTGTATTGCTGTGGGTTTGTACAGTAATAGATTGTGGAAGACGTCAAAATGTGTTAAGACCATCAGTGACACACTGTTGCTGAACAGATACATGGAAATATGGAATCTTTTTGTTAATTGACAAATGCCTGGCATACTTAAGCAAGCTGTCAGTAGGTAAACAGCTGGCTTGCAGTCCAATCAAAGTGATATAATTATCAATTGCTACTTTTTACAATCCTTCCAACATATGAAATGTATCAAATAATTTATGTGTACAAATAACAAACATAAGAAAAGTTTGGTAGGAATTGGTTTGAAATACCTTTCTAAATTGTCTGCTGTCCTTCAGGAAACTGTAATGCCACGGATGATTGAAAAAAAAAAAAACAGAACATGAAACTGACATTGATTTATGCCTATTGTGGTTGAAGATGACATCATATTTTTCCATTTTTTTTCATGGCAACATTTGAAGGCCAAGGTCTGCACACAAGATCAAATGACAGAGGGACTAAAGCTTATCATGATTTCTATAGCATGTATTGATAAGGAGAACTGCATTTCCACCTCACCCTTTCTTTTGTACTCATGGAAGATGCCATTATGCTGCAGCATAATGGTTAGTGCGCTGGACTCTGGCTGGAGAGGTCTGGGTTTGAGACCTGGCCAGGTCATTCTGTTGTGTTCTTCAACAAAACACTTCATTCTCACAATGCATCTCTCTACCCAGGAGTATGAATGGATACTGTCTGATAAAATGCTGGGGAGTAACCTTGTGATGGACCAGCATTCCATCTAAGGGGAGTTGTAATACTCCTTGTTGCTTCATGCTATGAAAACCCAGATAAGCTCCTCTTGAGTCAGGGCCACTTGGCTAGAGTAACGACTTCATCTTTTTTTCTTTGCACTCAGGTGGAGAAAAGCATTATAAAGTGGAGTCAAGTGTGTTGCATAAGAACACAGCAACAAACAAAAATTAACAACTAATGTGGCTTATTTACCTCTTTCGGTATTTATTTCTTAACTCCTCCACACTGACTTGAAGATTTCAAAATTGTAGTTAGGAGGTAACTGTTGTAAAAGGAATAATTATCTCAGTTAGAAAGTAATATTTACCCTGATCTCTATTGGTGCAAAATCTGATATATAGAAAATGAATTGTAGCTAGTTGGTTAAACTGTTGTGACCTGTTTTTGATGATGACCATTCCAAACAAATAACAGTTATCTAGAACACACTCTTTGTAAATGCCTCATGTTTCAAATACATGTAAAAAAAAGTTGCCCAAAAAAAAAGGTTTGGACAAGGATGGTTAATTTAGTACACAGACTGCAAAATTAAAATAAACTTGAAAAATAAGATCTGATTCTTAAATAACAATCCTACAGGCCTCAGTGACATCATGACATGCTGAAAAGGATTCAAGTTTGTGGAGAGCAACTTACAATTGAATACATTTATACTTAAAGAAGTCACATTTTAATTTCTTTCCACACTCAGTCTGCTGACTGAAAATCCCAATGATGAACCTAGTTGGATTTTATAAAACTAAATCAGTTGAAAGGGGCTTGAAAGTAATTAACTTACTTTTTCAACCCTTTGACTCCCAAGATCTCATTAGTAATTCTCCTTACTGTCTTCCCAACAATTCTTTTGATGTCAGTTCTGAAGTTGAAGGAGTTGGGTATTGGATCAGCTATTAATCCCCTTATTGATATTTTTCTTCATTCTCATCACTTGTCTGCTTGATATTGTACTGATATTGTAAGGAGAAATTCTTTCCTGGTCACTTATGGGGTTAAAGGGTCAAGTGAACCAAGGGTCATGTGAAGTTTCTCATTATTTACCTGCCTCACAGCATCTTGTAGCTCAAGATTGTTGACAATCTCATCTGGAATCTGACGAACAACTCTTCTCTTATTTGCTCCTATTTCTTGAATAACAGGGAATGTAAGGCATTTCAATAACAGTGACTATTTTTTTTTTTAATCCCTTGACAATATTTGCTCAAGGAACAGAAAGTTTGATCGGAATATTTTCAGCAAGATTTACGTACAGTCCCATACAATTGTAAAACAAAGGTAATCTATTGTTTTCGCCATCGTTTTCTTTCAGTTATCCAAGATATGTATGCATAATGAAGAATGGAGCTGAGCGGAAATCTTACCATATTATCCCCCAGGGATCAGAGACTTAGGCATGTATACTGGGTCCAGGGCTGGGGATTTCGACTAGTATATCAAATTATAAGTAACAGTGCAGTAACAGTGTTTAATTAAAACAAAACAAACCAAAACAAGCAAAAAAAAAACTCAGTTTTCATCCATTTATTGGGCTTAGGATACATATTAAAGTACGACATGAACGTAAAAATTATATCGTGTGCACCTAAAGGAAAGGAATACGACACAAAAAGGAAGAGAAAGGAAGAAAATGCGTTAAAAATGGGTTTGAGAGTGGGAACGATTACAATTCTGTTCCTTCTACGTAAACGGGTGCACGTGCATAGTGAATTACAAGCCGATATCAACTACATTGTACCTACGAGTTTTTCAGTCGTTTTACCAGCATTAGACTTAGTTCCCACAAATCTCCTTCTTATGTTATTCTCGGCAGAAACTCGAGTACAACTCGCTTTGTCCTCTAACGCGAAGCCTTCTGATGCCTCGGCCATGTTTGGTAGGTAAACCATGTTTCACCGCATATGAGGGATTTAGGGCTGTGACTAAAAGCAAGACTGAGACGTGTGGACTGGGACTCGGGGACGTGGACTCTGTGACGTGGGACTCGGGGACGTGAACAAACCTGATTTTTGCGCTGAATTTGTAAAGTATAATTTTCGGTGGTCTCGAGAAAAGAGTAATATGCTGGAGAGCTTGTCTGTAGTAGCCGATGATTTCCAGCGTCCATGGTTCGGCTGGATTTGTTTGCTTGCCTGTTTGACCGTGAGAACTCTGGGTACAGAATAATTTCAAAGCAGGGGGTTTTAAACACCGTGAGCAGCCATGGAGGACTTGGTAAGTAACTGTGTTTTCTTCCTTATTATTTTTTAGCAAGGATAAGGCACAGATCGAGAAGAAAACACAGTTACTTACCAGGAAAGTCCTCCATAGCTGCCCACGGTGTTTTTTTTTAACTGTTTAAAGACCCCTTGCGTTGAAACTATTCTATACCCAGAGTTCTCACAGTCAAATAGGCAAGCAAACATGTCCGGCTGAACCATGGACTACTACTAACAAGCTCTCCAGCATAATATATAGATTTAGCCAAGCCTAAAAGCTCGCATTTGTTTTTTTCCCGCACGTCTCAAAGGCACATCGCCTTGCCCCGGCCAGGACTAGAACCTGGGTCGTCTGACTCGGAGCCCAGTGCACTGACCACTGGACTACTGAACAAACCCTGGTATTGGCGTCCCCGCGATCACAGTTGACCACGCATGTTAAAAGTAGCACCTTGTACGGTCATACGATCGTACATTCAATTTTTTTCGGCTTGATGGGTTACTACTATTTTGTAATATATAGATTTAGCCAAGCCTAAAAGCAGAACTCGCATTTTTTTTTCCGCACGTCTCAAGGGCACAACGCCTTGCCCTGGCCAGGACTAGAACCTGGGTCGTCCGACTCGGAGCCCAGTGCACTGAACACTGGACTACTGGACAAAGCCGTGGTGTTAGCGTGCCCGCGGTACAGTTGACCACTTTCACAAAACGAACGAACGAGGCTAAGCGAGAGAGTGAGTTTGTTTATTATATACGAACTGAGATTTTCTTGAAATTCAAAGTGATTTATCAAGTCGCTTTTACAAGTATCCACTTAGGTTTGAAAGCTAATTCTATGGAACTAACAAAAAAAGTGCCTTACAAGTTAAATCAAAACTGGAAATGGTGAAATTAAATACTGAAATGAATTAACTAAGCTTACAGCATGACAGTTTATTAGCAACGAATTAATTTTCGTAAGTATTCATTCAAAAATATCCTAAAGAAAAATGAGGAAAAGCTTGACAAAAATAAGTACTTAGCTTTTCAACGAAGCTGACTCTTTCTATGTCAAAGGTGGACTCATGTAGTGTCTTCGTCGTCTGAAGAGTCAAATATGCATGTTATTCCTCTATAAGTTTGTTGTTTATGTGCTTCTGTTGAAGACGAGAACGACTTGATGTTGAAATTTCTTCCGTAAAGCACAGCACCCTCGAATAGCCCTGCTGCTGTTGGCGTTTGACTTTGTTGTTACGTTGTTTCGACAAGAGTGTGTTTCAGTTTGAACTATTGAAGTCGGGCCACTCAATATTCTTGACATACTTTTCCATTGTTTTTTGTGAAAGATGACTAGTTGTAAGTACCCTGTAAATTTTTGTGTCCTGATAACTGCATTATATATGATTAGAAGGAATACCCTTATCATTCAATGTTTGAATCATTCGTTTTCACGCACTGTGGTTCGTGAGGTGAGAGTTGTCAAGACCGTCTTTTTCAGCTATTGTTTTCATGAGACTGTTAAGTTTGTTAACTCCCATTGCATTGGCTTTG